TTTTTTTTTAAATTAATAAATAATTATAATATCAATTAACATTATAAGTTTACAATTTTAATGTGTTATTGTATAATTGATTTTTTTATTCATAAATTTACTAGTGATATTTATGTATTTACTTTTTTAATAACATATGAAAAAAAATATAAATAAAAATATGAATTTTGTAATTTTTTTTGTTTAATGATACAATTTTTTTAATTTCTAAATCAAAGGGTAAACTTTCACTTTTTTATTTAAGAATATAAATTTTGTCATTTTTTTTTATTTAATGATACAAACTTTTCCCTATTTTAATGAATATTGTCGTTTACCACATTATCATTGCTATCTTACAAATCACTAAATTAAAAAAAAAATTCTTATCCCTATTTAGAAAGGCCAAACCTTCTATATGTGTCCTATTTATTGTTTTATGTGATCAACACCCTCTAGAATTTTCATTCTCAATCAACACTTTTTATATTTTAAAATCTGTAAACAAAATGCAAAATTAATAACCAAGTCACATGCAACTCAAGGTGCAAATAGGGAGTTTGATCGCCAATTTTTGGGTATTTTATGGGTTTCAAATTCTAAAGAGTGTCGATCAAAAGTGAATATTCTAGAGGGTGTTGACTATGAAAAATACAATATTCATGGTGAATATATGGGGTTTGGCCATCCCAATGTGAGGTTTTGGGCATTATAATGTCCTTTACTCAAACGCTTGATGTTCTCATCAAACCTAATCACAATAGAACAAGGCCTACTAACCCACAATTACAAAATTCACCTCAAGTGGTGTGAGGTCCATACTACCACCAACTACAATGGTAAGCATAGGCTCAAACCTGCAAGAGGTGACTACCCTAATACCAACTAAAACAACCCAAGGCGAAACCCACTACTAGCCTGTTAACAACTCTTAGAGTCAAGGTCTATGAGCCCTTAAGAGTTTAAGCTAAGGTGTTTGTAATGGTTGGTCTCAACATTTATATACTAGTCACGCTACACTTCTATCTTTATATTGGATTTTGTGGTGTTACAATAATAAAAACTATCACCTAAAAGAAGTAAGAAAAAAAAAGGGGGTATCTGCACTCTAGGACACTATTAAAGAACAAGAAGTTCTATCTTTAAAATATATTTCAAGAAGGCTAAAGGGCAATTATGGAGGGGATTCCACTAATTTATGGGAAGTTGATAAAACCTATGTTACCATAGGCCTAATAGATTCAAAAACTATCATTTGGGTAAAATCTATGAGATATAGTCGTGAACATAGAGAATAATTTGAAAATCAAATTCAAGAGTTAATCCCTCAGGCTAAGAGTCCACATTGCAGCCTAGGATTTATGGTGAGAAACCATAGTGAGATTAAAAGAGCCAAAGCTAGGATAGTTGTTAACTTTAAGCAACTAAATAACAAGATAAAGTTTGGTAGACATTTTTTATCCATAAAGAGACTCCAATCAACAGTATTAGGGGAAAAAATGTATTCTAAACTTGACTACAAATCAGAATTTTGGTAAATAAAGCTAACTCTTGAAAGAATCCCATTAACATTAAATTTATTTGAGAGATATAGAATTATAGGGAAATAATACTTTAACTATAATTTCTTAATAGAAGAAAGTTGTAGACTGAACTTAACATAATAGCTACACATTACCTTATAAACTTAAGTCAGCTCCAAAAATCCCCAACAAATCTTGTATTTGAGCCCAAAAAGGAATAATGAAGAGCATGTTTGGTGAAGCTTATAAAAGCTTTAACTTTTTGTACTATTGATGTATCATAAATTTAAATTTTTCTCTTAAAATTTTACTTTTTTAAAACTTTTTTTTAACCTTAAAAAGACCTTAAATAGTAAAATTTAAAAAGTTTTAAATTTGTATTTTTTATAAATTTCCTTTTTACTCACTTCTTACTAACTTTTTTCTATTTTTAAAAACAATTTTTAAATTTTCTTTCCAATAAAAATTTAAACATATTACTCAGTACAAAAAAAGTAAAAACTCTTACAAGTTTCACCAAACATATTCGAAATTAATAAGGCAATTAAAAGATGAAATTTATAATCATGAGAAGGAGTTATACCAACTCTTCAGATACATGTCTACATTTACAGTGAATAGTAAGAGATGGGGGAGATTGAATTAAGAAGTTTTAATTCAAAAAGAATTAAATAGAAAGGTAAAAAAATGAATTACCAAGCCTATTTGATTAAAGTATGACTCAAGTATACGATTTGAAAAGGATGGGAGCTACATTCCTAGCAAATTCAATCCTAAGGACTCAAAATTCATAGGAAGTACAGCTGAAAGTCCACGTGCTTTCGTGGAACAAAACGATCATTAAAACATCAACGTTTAAGTTGACAAATTGAACCAAATCGAGAATGAATATATGAAAGATAATCTATAAAATTAAAAGTCTTCAAAGTAAATAGACCTAATATAAATGCACTAGGGCTTCGGATCAGTAGCATTAAGTCCACATTTAAATGCATCTTTTTTTTTTTTTTGGACAATGATTTAAATTTGGCTCATTGTAAAATTGTTCAAAAAATGAACCTAATAAAAATAAATATAAAAATTACTATACTGTTTGCTAAATTAAACCTATTTTAAAGTTGAGATGTATTTTACCATCAAATATATAGTCATTATCAAATATATAGTCATTGTGCCATAAAATTCAAGTCCAATAAAAGGAAAAGTTTTGGAGGGTGCTTACTGTTAAAATAAATAATGTCCATACTACAAATATGGGGTGTGAACAATTTTTGTCAAAATTGAGTTACTTTACCCTCTACAAAAAAAGGTAACGGGACAAAGAATGATGTAAATTTTATAATTTTTTTAATTTAAAAATGTTAATTTTATTAATTTTTAAATAAAAATATCAATTTTTAATATTTTTTATTTAAAAATATCAATTTTTAACTTTTTTATTTAAAAATGTTAACTTTTAGTATTTCAATTAAAAAATTTATTTATCACATTAGTATCATTATCCAATTAATTCTTAAATAAAAAAATTAAAAGTTAATATTTTTAAATAAAAAAAGTTAAAAATTAACATTTTTAAATAAAAAATATTAAAAATTGATATACTTATTTAAAAATTAAAAAAATTAACATTTTTAAATAAAAAAATTATAAAATTGATATTTTTTTTCGCCTTTACTCTCTACAAAAATACTCTACTCCATACGGGTAAAAAAAATAAAAGAAATACTACTCTATACAATACTACAGTATTAGTAATCTTAAGGGTCAACTCTTCGAGAAGACTTTCCTCACTGTTGCCCACTCGTTTGCTTTCCATCTTTTTTCCAAAAGACAGAGAAAGGAGACCCCAATCAATCCCAAGTTCCCAACACCATCTCATTCATTCAGAAAGGAGAAAACCAAAATCCTTAAACTTCACAAGAAATTCAGACCCTGTTCCTATCTTTTATACAAGAAAACCTCAGTTCATGAGACTACTGAAGCTATGATTGAGTCTAAGTCCCTGCGCTTCATCACCCACCAGTCTTTCTTCCCGGCAGTCCGATCTGGGGACTTCGATTCCCTCAAGCAACTGCTTGACAATCTCACCAAAGATGATCCGTCTGATGGGTCGTTTTCGGTTTCTGATCTGATGACGTCCCAGAGTGATGCCGGCGAGACTGCTCTGTATATTGCGGCAGAGAAAAATCTGCAAAAGGTTTTCAGTTACTTGCTCAGTTTCTGTGACATTAAGACTGTTAAGATCAGGTCTAAAGCTGATTTGGATACGTTTCATGTTGCTGCTAAGCTAGGTCACTTGGGTATGATTCTGATCACTTGGCTTCTATTTTTTTCTGTTAATTTTTTTTTTTTTCCTAGGACCAGGTTTTTTATGGTTTATTGTATGTGGGTTTATAAAATTTAGTTTAATTCACATCAAATTTGATGAATTTTGCTCTTTCTATTGATTCCAGGGAATTTCATGTTGCAGCAGCTTTTAGCGTTTTAATTGCAGTATTTTTCTTCTTGTGTATGTGATTAAAACTTAAATAATTTGATGAATTTTATGTTGCAGCAGCATTAAGCGTTTTAATTGCAGTTTTTTTCTTCTTGTGCATGTGAATATATGCATCAATTCAGTTTTAGGATCAGAAAGTAAGTTGATTTATAATCTAATTCCTCATCAGGTTGTCATTTCCTTAGCTTTGTGCTGCACTAGAGCTGCCAATCAATATTTTATTTTTTCTCAAATGCTTTTTTTGTGCAAATCAGAACCCTGGTTTGTGGCTTCCATCCCAGTTTTTGCAATCCATGCAAATCTAGAAACAGGAAGAATAAATATCTGAAATTGGACTGCTATTTAATGACATCTTCATGTGCAGCTGCAGCTTGTTACCATTGCTTTGCGGTTATTTGTGCAATTTTTGACCATGGGTTTATCTGTTGTATGTAGAGATTGTAGAGGAGCTTTTGAAGATTTGGCCAGAACTTTGTAAATCATGTGACTCCTCCAATACAAGTCCACTTTATTCAGCAGCCATTCAAGATCATCTGGATGTGGTCAATGCAATGTTAAGGGCAGACCCTAGCTGCTTACATATAGTTCGGAAAAATGGGAAGACTGCATTGCATAATGCAGCGAGGTATGGCCTCCTTCGTATAGTAAAGGCTCTTATAGACTGTGATCCAGGGATTGTGAGTATCAAAGATAAGAAAGGACAAACTGCACTTCATATGGCTGTAAAGGGTCAGTGTATCTTTGTGGTAGAGCAGATACTGTGTGCTGATCCAGCTATACTAAATGAACGTGATAAGAAAGGCAATACAGCAGTGCACATAGCCACCAGGAAATGCCGTCCACAGGTCTCTCCAAATTGTTCTAGATATGATCAAATATATCGCAATATCATTTTCTTTTCCTTTTTTTCTTTTTTTTTTCAAATTTTTTGATCGTCTGTTTGTTTTCCCTGTATGTGGGGCATAATATTTATTGTGTTGCATAGTTGCTTACAATCCTCACCTTGCCATTCCCATACATTTTTTCTATTTTACAACATGGCAGATCCAGTTTTTGTTCTTTTGATGAAAAATTTCACTGATATTGTTTGGCTGTAGAGTAAGTGAATCTTATTCGACTGGCTTTTCAAAAGTAAAAGAAAAGGATAGCTTACTCATTCAACCTAAAAGAGATAAAGCAGACAAGGTTACTTATGGTAAAGAAGGAAGCATATAATATGACTTACATTTCTAGACTGCCATTGTTGGCACAAGGCCCATCTTTCTGTTCTAAAAGCAACTTAACGTTACATGTGAATAATAACTTATTCGAGTTGTAGGTTATGTAGTCCTTATGTTGATTTTTGTTTCTTTTTTCTGCGACTTAACCTCTCCTTTCTATTTTTCAGATAGTGAACCAGTTGCTGAATTATCCATCTGTTGATGTCAATACCATTAATAATCAGCATGAAACTGCAATGGATTTGGCAGATAAACTCCAATATGGAGAATCTATGCTAGATATTTGGGAAGCTCTTGCAGAGGCTGGTGCAAAGCATGCTAGGCATGTTGGTCAAGTGGATGAAACAATGGAACTTAAGAGGACAGTGAGTGATATTAAACATGAGGTGCACTCACAACTCATTCAAAATGAAAAAACCAACCGACGAGTTTCTGGTATTGCCAAGGAACTGAGGAAACTTCATAGAGAAGCTGTTCAAAACACAATCAACTCTGTCACGGTTGTTGCAGTTCTATTTGCTTCAATTGCTTTCTTGGCTATATTCAACTTGCCCGGCCAGTATGTTGCAGATGATGGAAATGAAGTAGGGAAGGCTAACATTGCTGATAAGGTGAGTTTCCGTGTATTCTGCATCCTGAACGCTACTTCTCTCTTCATATCTCTGGCAGTTGTCGTTGTTCAGATAACTCTGGTAGCCTGGGATACGAAGGCACAAAGGCAGGTTGTGTCGGTAATTAACAAGCTGATGTGGGCTGCCTGTGCTTGCACTTGTGGTGCATTTCTGTCAATAGCTTTTGTGGTTGTGGGGAAGGGAAGTTCTTGGATGGCTATCATGGTAACTGCAGTGGGAATACCAATCCTTGTTGGCACACTTGCACTTATGTGTTACTGTGTTTTCCGCCAACATTTCGGAAGTCTCCGTAGTGATTCTCAGAGACGTATCAGGAGAGCGAGTGGGAGCAAGTCTTTCTCATGGTCCTACTCAGCAAATATATCAGATGTTGATGACTTTGATTCTGACCTTCAGAAGGTTATTGCTTTGTGAACACAACCAAGAAGGTTGTTGGCCTGCATGGAAGATTTGACAACGATCTTTATGATCTTAAACATTTCTTGGATTTCTGAAGTTTAAGTAGATATGGGTGCCACGGAGGAACAATGGGTATTGTCCTTTTTTTTCTCTTTTGGTTACAAACTTGCAATAAAAAGGCTGAATGGAGATTCACATATACAATTTGTCTCTGTTAAGCTTCTTATGGGTTGCAAATGGTATATATGTATATATTCTTAAGATATGGTACCGTGGAAGAAAGGGGATGTTAGTTCCTGAACTTTTCTACTCTATTGAAATCATTTATTGTGCTTTTTTTTTTTTTATTATTTATTTACAGCCAAGTATTGTTTTCAAATTAGTTATTGCATATTTTAAAATAAATTTTTTTTAGCGATTTCAAAGGTAGTTCTTTACATTGGCTTACTACATTTAAAAAAATTAATTTTTTAAAGTATTAATATCAAGATTTAAATTTTAAATTTGACCTATAAAACAATATTTACATGACAATGAATCCAACTCTAGGGTTATTTATCACATTTTTTTCTCAAATATAAATCACTCTCTTACTTTTAAATTTAATGAAATCATTTTGAGGAATGCTAACTGCACTCGCCTTTCTCCAGCACTCTCCAACACTCTCTCATGTAAAATGTCCAAGTAACAAACTTTGGCTCGCAATTCAAAGTTTCCACCTAAAAAGTTCACGTGGCTATTTTAGATGAGGGAGTGTTGGAGAGTGCTGGAGAAAGGCGAGTGCAGCTAGCATTCCTCAATCATTTTTATTTCATTTAATCTAATAGTAAGAGGATGTTCGAGTGTACACCGCGAGTCAAAAAATTGAGCTGTCACCCTGTAGGTTGTTCATGTTAATGTGAACTAATATTTACCTTATGAATTAATATTTTTCCATATATATATTTTTTAAATTTATAGTTAAGATGCACATTGCCCTTGCGGCCTAGTGGCAATAGCCACCCCGGTGCATTCTCCTCCGGACTGAATTCAAAACCCGCCCCTTGCAAATATGTTCAAAAAAAAAAAAAAATTTATAGTTAAGATGTTTCTCATTAATTTTTGTACACTTTAAAATTAATTCTTCTTAATCGAAAAATCCTAAGGGCACTTCAAGGCTAATCTCTCATAATTTCATTTGAATAATCTTAAGAATGCATCCTTATATTGATTTTAAATATTTAAAAAACTAATTTTCTTAAATGTTGAGTCTAAGACTTAAACCATTATTTTTAAACCAAATTAAACCAATTAGTTGGACCGGTCAAGCCAATATCATAGACAATTTGAGTGAACATTTAAAACCATTTTAAAAATTAATAGATAACTTTAATTTTATTAATTAGCTAATTAAAGGCATGCATGTTGAATTAATAATAAAAATAAAGTTAAACTTTGTGATTTGTTATAGAGATTAATGTTGAAAATGCAATTAATGCACACTTATTCCTAGCTCTTAGGCACGGACTAGATAAATTCATATAAGAAAAAAAAATCTTTATTTGTACTTTTATAGTACAAGTTAAAGATACATTTATTATATCTTCTCACTATTATTTACATAAAACATAAAAATTCACTTTTTTTTTTTTTAACGCAATGAGAACTTTTCATTACATCATCGTCATACGGCATCTACAGCAAAGCTTTATCCAACGAATAAGAGGAAACAACAAACAGAGAAAAACATCTGGAAAGAAAATGCATAATAGACCCATTTTGCAGAGGATGAAGGGAGGTAAATAGTACACTCGAACAACCACAAGGAACAAGCTGTATAGATTCTGATGGTCGAACGATCTAGCAAACGGGACACCCTTCAATCGACTCATGAGGAAGTTGCGTCAAGCTTCCAAGACGCCGAGGTGGGAAACCCACACAAGCAAAGACCATCCCCCTTCAGCATCATAAGAAGCGCAATGGTCGCCAGATCTAGGGAAACCAGTGAGCACCTCCAAAGATCTGCGTGATGGGTAAGTGGGCCGTCGGATCTGAAAGCAAATAAGGAAAACAAAAAAAAAAAAAAACAAAAAACCAAGAAAACAAACAGGAAAACAAAAAACCAAAAGAAGGCCACCAGAAGGGGCCCAACAACAACCACAACGGGTCATTGAAATAGGGAGCACAAAACTGGCTCCATCATGCTTGAGCAGCCGGAGATCTCGACGGCTCAAGCATCAAAAACTTGGAAGCCCAAGGGCTTCTGATCTCAAAACAACGAAAACGCAAGAAAAGGTAGTCAGAAGCAGGAAAAGAAGGTAGAGAGAGAGAAAAAGAGTAAATAACTTCACTAAACATAAAAATTAACTTTAATTTTATTAGTTACCTAACTTTTTTAATCAACTATCAATCATATAATCAAATTATTCTTTATGATAATAATATTAAAAATAAAATTTACTTTTATAAATTTTTATATAAATTAATAATAAAAATAAAGTTAAACTTTGTGATTTGTTATAGAGATTAATGTTGAAAATGCAATTAATGCACACTTATTCCTAACTCTCAGGCACGGACTAGATAAATTCATATAAGAAAAGAAATCTTTATTTGCATTTTTATAGTACAAGTTAAAGATACATT